TAATATTTTTGGGGAATTTCCTCAAAATGTTTAGACTGAAAATTAATTAATTGGCTTAATTAGTGCAGGAAGTACAGGAATCACCACCAGGCTGCGCCACTTAGCGTGTGGATACTCACTCTCTCTCTCTCTCTCTCTTGCTCTCTCTCTCCCTTTTTTTTACACGTTTTGACGTCACCAACCTGCAATTTCGACGAATGAACTGAGAAAGGACGACCGAGCCCTTGCCGGAACTACCGGGCGGCAGCAGAAGCACAGCAGCAGAGGCAGCAAGTCGAGCGACCGTGAAGTTAAAAAAAAAACACCCCGTGAAGAAGGTGCCAGAAGGTGAAGAACCTCCTCCTCCGCCGCCGCCGTGAGAACCACAACCGGACGATGCGAACAGACGAGCATTAACGCAGCCACAGTGTGAGGAGAAGCAGCCGTTAGTGACGGAGAAGACACGGGACAAACGGACCTCACGCGACGTTTGAGAACCGAACTTGGGGGTTATTTTTTCCGCGGAGACCTCACCGTGTCTGTGTCATTTTCTTCTGTTCAAACCCAGTGGATCATTTTGATTTTTTTTTTTTTGGTTTTTTTTTGTGTGTGTATGTAAATGCAGTAACGTTGTCGTGTTCCGGGCGTGAGCGACTGAGACAGAGGGAGCTGCCCAGAGAGACTGAGGGATATCACCGACAGGGAGGGAAACAAAACACCTACGTTCACGTTTAAATACAGGATTCGAAGCCTTCTTCTCCCCCTCCCCTCTTCCTTCTCATTAACGATCCCGTTCGTGTTTTTTTTTCGTGGATTCCGGTACCGGTAAAGGCTATCAAGCTGTGTTCTCTAACCATGGGATGTACTCTTAGCGCAGAGGAGAGGGCGGCTCTGGACCGGAGCAAAGCCATCGAGAAGAACCTGAAGGAGGATGGACTGACCGCGGCCAAAGACGTGAAGCTGCTGCTGTGTGGTAAGACAAGACAAGACAAGACAAGACCTCCACCTCCCTGTGGAGGAGAGACACGGTGAACCGTGATGGATTAGGTGTGGTGATGGTGGTGGGCGTTCGGTTCAGACCCGATCCTCAGAAGGATCGAAGGATCGAAGCAGAAATTATCGTTGTTTTTATATATATATATATAATCTCTAATAATAAACCGATAAAAGACCAGGATCTTAATGTCTTCACCTGCTGCTGGTGCAATTCCACTTTTTTTTTTTTTTAAAAAAAATTAATGTCAAAATTATTCAATTTAACACCAGTTATTTCGTGTAAAAACGATCACTTCTTTTTTTTTTCTTTTTTTCTCCTCCCTACATGACAGGACTCTGAATATTTCATCATTTGACAGATTTTGAGGAAACCCCTCTTTTTTTTTCTTTCTTTTTTGTCACGTTCAGACTCCATTGTTCAGTCGAAGCCGAGTCGAGATAATAATAATAATAATAAAACACACAGTGTGTGTGTGTGTGTGTGTGTGTTTATGATTAACCAAACACAGCAGGGCAGGTGAGAAGGTGGGACTT